AATTAGAGGGAAATCATACATCAAAAGCATCTTTTTATGTGAGTGTACGCAAAGCCTGAAGCAGAAAGTTAACAAAGAAAGCTGATACTGCAGGTTCAGGTTTTGTTAAGCTAGTTAACGCCAGAAAAGCCTGGCTATGTTGAGCTTAATTTGTAGGAATCCCCTCTGGCTTGTCCTTTGACTGTGTGTGGATACTGTTTATTTATCAGCACCTGTGGATATAAAAACAAAAGCACCTGTCGCTGTTGCTTAATTCTCAGCTCTTTCTTGGTTGCACACTGTTGCTGAATGTGTTTAAAACTGATGCGCTCGGATGCTGTATTATATTTAGGGCAAAAAAATGGGGCTTGCACTTTAGTTTACAATCAAGGTATCCATTTAATCTTTCAGATCAATTTTGTACCTCTGATATTTACATTAAACACTGAAGTTACATTTTATTTATGAAAGTTTGAGAGTGATGTTTTAGTTGAGTCACATTATTTGTCACCGAAAATGAGATTTGATCACATAAGAAAGGCAAAACTGAAATGTGTCATATTGTCAGTTGTGCCATACTTTCATATGCAAAATGTGTAAATTATATCCAGAAATAAACATTTGTATTTATGTATCTGACTGTTTTATTTAATTATTTTCCAATTCTGAGTATAATTAATACCAGATGCTTGTTATGTTATCTGTGCCAATATTCAAACATGCAACACTGACACTCTGATTTAAATTCACAGATTTTGTACAAAACCTCTCAGACATTTAATGAAAAATTAATACACATTTCTTTAGCTTGTGAGTACACGAGAGATGGATTTTTTTTTTTTCCACCATTTCTGTAGCAGGAGACTGCTTCGGTTTTCCCACAGGCCGCTACAGTTATAGCTTCCTAAAGTCTCATGTGTATATAAAAAGTATGTTATGACTTCTTAGAAACAAAAAATAATTCTGAAATAAAGGTTTTAACAGCAGGACCTTGGGTGTAGTCAGTCAATCACATGGCAGCAACTAATTTAGGCATGTAGAGATGGCCAACATAACCTGCTGAAGTCAAATTAAGCATTAGAGAAGGGAAGAAAGGTGATCTAAGTGACTTTAATCATGCCATGGTAGTTTGTACCAGACTCCTAATCTGCTGGAATTTTCTCACAGAAACCTCTCCAGGATTTACAGGGAATAAAAGTTGACATCTATCAGTCTGGAAAGGGTTACAGAGACATTTAAGGCTTTGGGACTCCAGTGAGCCACAGTGAGAGCCATTAGCCACAAACTGACAAAACTTGGAACTTTCCGAGGAGTGACCGGCCTACCAAAATTACTCCAGGAGTGCATCAACAACTCATCCTAGAGGTCAAGAATGATCCCAGAACAACATCTAAAGAACTGCAGGCTTGTCTGGCCTCAGTTAAGGTCAGAGTTCATGATTCAACAAAAGAAAGAGAATGGACAAAAATGGCATCAATGGGAGAGTTAGAAGGGGAAAAATCATTGCTGACAAAAAAGAATACAAAAGCTCACATTTGGCAAAAAGATATTATGATGATACCCAATATTTTTTTTCACAGTCACATGTTTCAGATGATCAAACAAATTTTAAACAAATTAAAAAAAAAACAAACCTCAGGAAGGAAGCAAATAGTTTTTCATAGCATTGTATCATTGAATAATTAAAGCTACCATGAAAACATTTTCAAACAAAAACTAACGTGAAACGAGAAAATTCGCTTTGGAAAGTGAACTAACGGGAGCAACTAAAATGAATTATAATGAAATAGACTAATTATAAAATACAAAACTCTTATAATCCTGCTTTGTGCATCGAGAGGCTCTAAGGATTTAGAAGTGAAGTGAGAGTAAAAGCCAGGAGATGGCAGTAGTGCAGCATCTTTGGATGCAAGCTGCCGTTAAAAATGACAGAAGAAGAAGAAGATCTCACTTTGTGGTTTTTAGCACAGCTGGTTGCAACTGTCCTGAAGTCCTGCAGAGGGCAGCATTACGCCTGCGTAGCTCCACCTGTGAGATTGTCAATGCGGTGAAGAAGAAGCAGCAAAACAAAGGTACCAGACGTTTTAACTGTTTGTAGGTTTTTATTATATACGAACAAAACCAGGTGCAAAATTTTTAGACTTATTTTAAACAAAAGTTAATATCAGTACTTTGGCGGCGCTTCCGCCCGAAAGGTTTTTCAAAGTTTTGCTTGACTTTTAGCTAGCTAACACGAATGTTTGGTCAGTATATGAGTGTTTTTTATTTGTTAATTAAACTGAAAGCGGCAAACACGCTGAAATAAACTTCATGTGAAACGTACTCGGTCTTCAGCTATTTTATATTTTCTAAGTAAGGAGTTCCTGTCGCGATAAGGACTGTAGTTTCCTTTACGCCCCGTTTAAACCTCTTCTTAACGGTTCCCTGGAAAAAGTTATGCAACACAATCCAGCAGGCAGAGCTTTGCTAAATGTGGAGCCACCTTTGATTCTGAAACACAGCCTGAAATCTCTTAATCAAGCTTTCTAGTAATTTATTTAAGTAGTTTTCAGGAATAGCTTTCCAGGCTTCTTAAAGGACGTTCAAAGTTGCTCTTTGGATGTTAGCTGCTTTTTAGTCTGTTCTCTGTCAACATGATCCCACAGGCTTCAATAATGTCGAGGTCCGGGCTCTGGGGAGACCAATTCATGACTGGTAGTGTTGCACTGTGTGTGTTTTCTGTGCAGGTGTTTTTACTGTGTTGGCAGTGTGTTTGGGATCACTCTCAAACTCCCTGTTTCTCTTTCCTTATACATTGATTCTTGACAGCTAATGAAACCATTTCTGATTAAGCTTTTGTGAACAGTAGCTGGATCAATGTTTTGGAGATAAAGTATGTGAATTTCAGGAGCGGGACCACGCCTCCAAACACGCTCCTTCCGGTTCTTATCTCAGTCCCCCAGTTCTACAAACTGTTCGTTTTCGTGCCAGGCCCGGGAACTGCTGCCAGTACCCTTTGATGCCTTCCCCAAACCGCAGCTCAGTTCATGTTTAAGCCATTCATCTTTATCTATTAAAACGCTGTCATACATAAAATGACTTCATCACTCAGGGCCTTTTTCAAGTCTTTGCTGGATTTTTTTTTTTTATCTGATTCTTAAGAACACGACTTTCTCTTCTTGTCCTGTGACACTTGTTCTTTAGTCTTCTTCTTGTCCAGTTTCATTTTTTAAGGGCACACTGTACATCCCACTGAGACATATCAAGTTTTCAGCTAATAGCTCTGAGGTTCACCTTGTTGTTGCAAAAATACTATTTTATGTCTGTTAAACTGTGTTATCTTTGACACTATTCATAGATTCATTTATTTTAACATAATATTTTAAGTTATATTTTGCTAAATTTTCAGTTATGTGTGGACAACACTGGTTCATCCCTTAGTTTAGGTGCCCCTTTTGACGTTTGAACGATTTATATGTCAGTGTTAAATGAGGGGTGGTTCAAGACTTGCACAATAGTGTATCATTTTTGCATGTTTCACAGGTCAAAATTGGTCTTTATGTATCTTATATCGAGCACTGGTCCAGGCACTGCATTTATCTTCTGTCTGAAATGAGATATTTAATTTCTCATTTTAACTTTGTTTTGGTGCTTCTCCCAAACATAAGTGTTGCTACATGTACATGAGCTGACTGTTTGATAAAGACCATGTCTTCCATAAAAAGTCAACAGTGTAAAAAAAAAAAAAGGTCAGAAACTCAACATTTAGCAGTCTAAATCTCGAGTTTTTATTTTTTCTGAGAGGGATTTCTTGAATGTGATCGTACCTCATTATTTGAAGCTTTGGTTACGGTTAAAGAGTATCTATAATTTTAACAGCATTTATATGATTAAAGTATAAAAGATGCTCTCTAAATTGGGATCTTTACCTCTAAATTAATTGTTGTCTTAAAAAAAATGTGTCTAGAATTTTCAATAAATAATCTTTTAGGTACTGTTTGTAAATTACTTTTTATGAGTTTTAAATCTTCCAAAATTAACTAAAGCTGTCAACAGAGTGTGAGGAGACAACTACTATGACTTTATGTCCAAACCATCTCTATACTGTATGGTGAGATAACAGAAGTTGAAATGGGGCCAAGCTATACTTTCATGTAACACCAGTTTGTACCCCCAGGTGATATAGTGGGTCACCACAAGGTTTTGTTTTTTTTAACCAGGCAAGTAATCAGTAATATGCTGGCTCCATCCATGAGCCAGAGTGTTGGTGGAGGTGCATAGTGAAGATCAGAGCGAGATTCTTTGTGGATCTACAGATATGATAGGGTGCCAACTGTGGCGCTCCATGAAGGAAGTCAGTCAGGAGTAGAATTAACAGATGGTTTCAAGGTGGGAGTTAGATTACTTCAAGGATTGGCTCTGAGCCTCTTCTTGTTTGCAGTGGTGATAGACAGAATTATGTTTGCAGACAACATTGAGCTCTGTAGGGAGGGAGGAGTGAAGGTGGAGGCGATGCTGGAGAGAGAAGAATGAATAATCTCAGGACACCTGCTGATAAAATGCTGCAGAGGGTACAATGCTGAAAAACCTACCATTAAGAAAGTGGATGGATGTTTTTGTTTTGTTTTTTCCCCCCCATACTTAAAGCTTAAAATCTCATGTAGTCTTTGCACTCACTAAAGCTGTCCATTTTTGCAGAGGGATATATTAACATTCATAGCCTGGTTTATATAATATTACCTCTGCACTGATAAAAAGAAATATCCAGAATCCTCTCAGTAAACTCATGTTTACTTTGGGAGTAGAATTATGAACTTGACTTTATTTTCTGAAAACTTTTTTGTGACACTTGCAAAGCTTTTGTGAAGACTGATGTGGCTAAAAACTGTGCTACGAATTCATTTCTAACAGAGTTACCAGCCAACAACTGTCAGATTGTTTGTGTGTAGTTTCCTGATCCACACGATAAACCTCGGACAGATACACGACGTGGCTGGAGCAGATGATTGATGTATAATCATGTTTTATCCTCACTCTTGCAGAATGCCTTTCCATTTCTGCCCCCAGTGTGGGACAAAGTTACAGCCTGAATTCAGATTCTGTCCTTCATGTGGGGAGAAACTTCCCGGTCCTGAAAGTCCATTTCAATCTGAATCTGTGAACTCAAGTTTCTCCTCGCCTCTGAGAAATGCAGCAGCAACATCTGTAGTTAATCCAAGCCCCACTCCAAGCACGAGCTGTGAACTCAGTACAGGTGAATACAGGTGGCAGTATGTCATCAAATAAATACTTAAAATACCAAGTAATTTAGCTTTAACAATGTAACAATCTCTCTCTGTGTCCAGTCCAGGGATTTGACACTTTAAGTTCGTTAACACCACGTCCTGCACTGCGAAGGACTCGCAAAACCCTTTGTCTGGACAAAGAAGGTAAAGGAGATCATACAGGTTATCCTGTTAAGATGTCAGTTATAATGAGGTATGAAAACAGCATGAGTAAATTCAGCTGGAGCAGGGATGTCAAACCAAAGGGTTCAGCTCCCTGAAGTTGTTTAGTTCTAAAAACTCCACCTTTTGTAGCTTCACTGTGATTCCAGCTGGGGCCTTTCTTTGTGGAGTTCGTGCACTGGTGGGTCTGAAGACCTCAAAATGTATAGAACAAACTTATAGTTAAAGTGCTTTGTAAATGTGAGTACATTACATTACACTGAAAGGCAATGGGAGGCTCTTCTGGCCTTTAGAGTGAATTAAAAATCACTTGGCTGATGGATGGCCCTGGAGTTTGGAATCAGGCTGGTAGATCAATGGTGCAAGAAAGCTGTCCTTAGTATACATTCAAGTACTGTGGCTTACATGTGGCTTATGATCTAAGCCATGTGTTTTATTCATGCTGTAAAATACTTGAGTTCTGGATCGATGACTTCATGAATGTCTGTTTTGTATGTTGTTGAGGGTTTTTTTTAAGATTTTGAAAATCTGTTGGGGTTTGTTTTTTTTTTTTTTTGGCCTTTTCTGGCTTTATTGAATAGGAACAGTGAGGAGTGACAGGAAAGCGGAGGGAGAGAGAGAGAAGAAGACATGCGGCAAGTAATTTCGGATTCAAATATTGGCCGGCCGCTCTTAGCTATACGCCATGTGCTCACCCCAGTGAGCTAAACCGGCTCCCCATGTCTGATGTTTTAGTGATGCAGATAAATACGAACCCTTCATTGATGTTTTGGGGGTTCACTTGTTCCCTGTACCTCTGTGCAACAAAAAAAGTCTTTCTTTTACATTTCTGTTATCAGCGTGTCGTATCTCACACGTCTGGAAGTCAGCTAAACCCTGATCCGGTTCCTTGTGGCTTCAAAGATGTGATGTCATTTCTCACAGTCAAAGGAAGCTTTATTCCTTTTTTTCCCCCCAATGTTTTTTTTTATTGATTACTTTAACTCTTTACTCACTGTGCCTATAGATTACTCCACTTATTTTGTTCGTGTTTGTAATTATATTTGTCCCCCAGTTATTTATTACCTCTAAGTATATGTTATTATGCTTATTTGGATGCATAACCTTGTAGCTTATATTTTTTATGTTTGTCCAGACTGCTTTGTCTGGACAAACTAGTCAAATTAGTCATACTCAATCACAATCAGTTGAAGCCCTGAACCAGAAGTACTTTGCTTCCACAGATAATGACGCTGGGTTGCAGGAATCTCCACCAAAGAAGAACACGGTCACCTTTAAACTTGACACTGGGGCGCAGCCAATCGTAGAGTCTCCTGTTGCAAAATCTCCTCGATCTGGTGAGCAGAAGCACTGATTTATCTGCCCGTTCCTGCAGTTCTTTTATGAAATCTCCATTACCTTTCCTCTTTGCTTTGTTAACTGTTGCTGTGTAGTGCAAAGGAAAGGGAAGCTCAGCAGTCCTTTGAAAAAGCAGGAAGAAGAAGAAAAGAAGCTGTCTGCAAAAACAGGCTGGATAGAGGGGAGATCAGCAGTAGATGGAGCTTCACCTGTTTCCTCACCAAACTCTAAGTCTCCTGCAAAAGGTGAGCTACACGTTGAATGATGTAACAGGAGCATGTTACACACATTGTTAAGTACACTGATAGGTTTGTATAAATATCACAAAATGTTTAATGATCGGGAGCTTTATTGTTGTTCTGGTGTCGTTACAATCACCACATTTACTGCAGTTTTATTGCTGTAACAAGAGTAATCATTCATTTCTCTTAGAATATCTATTCAATTAATAATTTAATTACATTTTTCCCCCTTAGGCTTTTCAGAGTTACCTTTAAATTTAACCACTTCTTTTACAAAAGTGCTATGGTTCACTTGTATACCAGAAAATCTCATGGGGGCCCCCAATCTTAAATCCAATCAAAAATTCCTAATGCTCATCAGTCATGTGGAAAGCTTTTAAGGAGAACGTGTGAGAAACCTGCCACTCGGACACAAACTTCAATACAAGAACATTACATCTAGTTAAGACTAAGGAGTAAAGTCACAAACTAACCACCTCCTCTTAATGGATTTAATTCACTTTTTATATAAATATTTAAATGCTTTCAGAGCGTACATACTTGTGAGTAATTTCAAACTGAATTTGTGTTTCTGTGGCCCACCTGCAGTACCTTTGCAGCCCACACTTTAGGAATCACTGTTATAAACAGAATTCACATAAAGCTTCTGATACATGAGAGGCAAATAGTAATAATAAAAACTAAATCCAAAGCTTCTCAGCGTGGACTAGTTTCAGCTTAGTAAAATAAATTTATCAATAAATTAAACTTAAGTTAAATTAAAATCAGTAAAAAGAAATAGTCGTCTTTCTTTCTTCCATTTCTTCTAGTGTGCAGAAATTTTTTACAAATTCTTTGTACAAAAAGATTTTGTTGAGTCGATCACAGCACAGCATACTTTAGGTGTGTAATTTTGTGTGTGTGTGTGTGTGTGTGTGTGTGTGGGGGGGGTTATTCCTGCACTAATTAATTTGAAGTGTTTTCATTAACTTGCAGCAACTGGAAAAAATAAAGGCAGGAAGACAAAGCATGCATCCTCTGTGGAACCGCTGCCTGAAGGTGAGGAGGTGACCGACACGACCGGCAAGAAGTGGAAGCTGATCAGGCAGCTCAGTCAGAGCGCAACCGAGCTGCTCTACGAAGGTAGGACTGGTCACAAGACATAAGGGGAACACATGAAAACAAAGACAAATGTACAATTGAAGAGTTTGACTCACGTGAAATAGTCGTGGTGATTGCTGATGTGCTGTGTCCCACTGAGCAAACTCAATATGAACACCTGGCAGAAAACGTGTTTGAGGGAAGTCTAGTTGAGTTGTTGCAGCAGACGTTTCTGTGATGCATCGACCAGCTGTTATTGTCACTGAGAAGGAATATGGTCGCTGTCCCCAGAGTGTAACTATAAGCACACGTCTTTAAAAGGACTCACTCAGTGCAGCGTGTTCGGTGATGTTCTGGCATCCAAATTAGCCTGGGTGTGCTGAAGGAGCTCAGTGTGGTTTCTCATGGGAAGAAACCGATGATGAGCAGGGAAGGGCTGATTGGCTCTGAGCACAGCTCGAGTGGTCTGTATTCCCATAGTGAAACCCCTCACACGTTTATCAAAGAACCAGGGATTACGTTACGTAACCCAACATCGCTGGCAGATGATAGTCCATGGATTTGAGATTGCATTTCAGCAAATTCTCTACATGCAGATGTTTTCTATCAGAGTACAACCAAAGCTGGATCATGCGTGACTGATCAGAAGCTGGAGTGATTTACAAAAGTCATGCCCCTCATCAAGGTTTTTAACCTTTAAAGTGATACTGGATGTACTATGAACTACAGCATACCACAAATAGGGAAACATAATAACTGCAGCCCACATTTAATGCAATCAGTCAAGTCTATATTCTATCTGTTTGAGTCCAGTAAACTTTATTAAAGCAAAGGGAGGACTAATCCAGTGTAGCTGGTCAACACTGCATTGCACTCCAGCAGGATAAACCAGTTGACTATTTATTGACTTAGAAAAGATAAATATTAATAGAACATTTTATGATCACAGATGAATAAAGCGGTTTCTCTCTCTTCAGTTTCTCGGCCAAGCTCAAAGGAGTTGAATCACACCCTCAAACTGGTGAGTACAAACGGTAGATAAATGTGTCTGCTTTTCAGTTTATTTCCCAATAATCCGTTGAATTGCTCTCTACTTTGTTGTAATGCTTCTTCTGCTCCTGAATTTCCCTGTGCCAAAAAAAAAAATCAAAGTTATATTTTATTTTTCACTTTTAGGGAGCTAAAGATGGAAGAATCTTCAATGAACAGAACTTCCTGCAGAGAGCTGCTAAACCGGCGTCCGGTGAGGATTTATTGTGCTTTTCTGTCACGTTTAGAAGCCCATAATTACCAGAATTAGTTCCCAAAGCTGACTTTATTCTGATTTCAATAAAGACAGAGGATAAGTTTCTGTGACTGTTTCTATCACCTATGGAGGGTTAGGATGTTTTGTCTGTGCACAGAACATTCACTTTGACACAAAGGATTTAAATTACCAGGTGACTCAAAACTAAACTCTCAAAGGTGACAAATGAGTCAGAAAGAAACGCTAACAGCTGAGGCATGAAGCTGTAATACATCTGTTTGACTTGATAGGCATCAGAGGAGCATTGTTGTGTCTTTAACCCTCATCACAGCACAGCAACTTCACCCTTTGGCTTGTGGACTCCTGTTTTAAAACCTTGATTTGACGATTTCTGTCATCACATTCTCAGTTTTATTAAACCAGACGGCGAGGGCCGCAATCTCTAACAGGGGCCGTGAATTACAGATTGACCATCATGTGATATTCAAAGCGCTTAAGCTGTTGATTTAGTGACGAACTCTTCAGGGAGGTGTATTCAATGATAAGGGTCATTTTCTCATAGATGTTTGTTTTATAGCGAGAAGAGTCGCCCTCTGCTGGCTGTGAGAAAGAATGTAGATTGAAAACTTTTCTGAACTGACTTTTCAGACTCTGAAGGCAGTGCATCTGAACATATACACAGTGTTTTCTGCCTGTGTGATGATTTTCCTACTAAAACTTGTTTTCTCTGTAGTGGAAAAGTGGGTCAAGCAAAACAAGCTGGATTTCCTGGGGATTCCTTCCTGCGTTGGCTTTGGTCTCCATACAGACTCGTACAGGTGTGAGCTTTACGTGCACATACAAAACATATGAAAGCATCTTACTTTGACCTGTAAATCTGTTTACATTAATTTCATTTTATTTTCGTTTCTGTAGGTTTCTAATTTTTCCCAGCATTGGCGAGTCGCTCCAGTCCATCATCGAGAAAGAAAATCAGCCTCTGTCTGAGGAAGTTGTTCTTCAGCTGGCCTATAGAATAGTTGGTGTTTTTGAATTGTCTAGTCACACAAATACTCTAAAAGTGGACCTTTTTTACTTTTTCCTCTTCTTAATAATGCTTATTTATCTCTTACTGGACTTTTGTGTAGACACAGTCTGAAACGAGCTGCTTTAGCTCCTCTTCCTTTAACCTTCTATTCTGTTCAGTTCAATTTTATTTTATTTATACAGCACCAAATCACAACAATGGTCACCTCAAGGCGCTTTATATTGTAAGGTAGAACTTACAATCATACATACAGAGAAACCCCCAACAATCATTTGACTCCCTATGAGCAAGCACTTTGGCAACAGTGAGAAGGAAAATCTCCCTTTAAACAGGAAGAAACCTCCGGCAGAACCAATTTTCCACTTCTGTTCACTAAACTGTGATGTTTTGCACTAACAGAGGTAGAGCAGCGACATTTAAAAATGCAGAAACTGCATGCACAAAGTAACGATGAAGAGCTTTCACATTGTGTGAGGTAGATGAAGGAAACAGTATACGAATGATAAACATACAGAGCCATTAAAAAAAAAAAATCTGTGTAAAATATAATGAGGTCATAAATAATCCCACTTGGTCATTTTAATCAATAGCTGAGTAAAAAAAAAAACCCCCCACAAAAAACGAGCTCCTGCTCCACTCCTGAGACCCACTTCTTTAAGCCAGCTGGTTTCTGATTGGCTGACCTTCACAAATGGAAGGCTTGGACAGCAAGTGGGTGGGGCTTCTGTGCTCACAGCTGGAGTTGTGTTGTTGTGTGTCTGAGAAGAACTGGAAAGCACAGTGATTACTTTTCTTTGTGCTGACCTGTTTATGTGTGCCCATCGTTGTTCCCATTTCACAAGCACTAGAGACAAAATTCTAATGGTTTTGGAAAGATGAGTTATTATTTTAATTTTAGAGCCAGAATTACAAAATAAATCCATTAGGCCTGGGCGATAAAGCGTTAAGAGACTAACTTTTCTTTTCCCTTGCAGTTAGACGTGCTGCACTACATCCATTCAAACGAATACGTTCATGCGGATATCAGTGCCGAGAACGTGTACATAAAACAAGGACAGAGGTCACAGGTAAGACGTGCTCTGAGCTTCAAACTGCACTACTCTGTCCTGAAGTGTGTGTAACCAGGCTGCTTCTGTGTGTTTGTGTGTGTCTAGGTGTACCTTGTAGGATACTGCCATGCCTTCAGGTACGGTCCAGGAGGAAAGCATGTGGAGCACCGTGAAGCCAGCCGAACGCCACACGAGGGCACCGTCCAGTTCATCAGCCTGGACGCGCATAAAGGAGCAGGTGTGTTGCCTCTGTGGTCCACTGAGCCATCTGTAGTCTGTCAGTGTCACTAAATCATACTTCATCGTGTAAGCTGCTGTAAACCAGAGCGCTCTGACCACGCTCCATCTGGCCAAACACTGGCTTCACATCTGCTTCTCCTTCTTTCGGCTGCTCGTGCCACAGCGGATCATCTACCATCCTCCTCCATCACACCAACCATTTGCGTCACTACATCCATCCTTCTCTGTGGCTTTCCTTTGTTCTTTCTGCCTGGCAACATCCATGGCTTCACATTAGTATGATTTTATTTTCACATGTGAAGGTGGTTTTTGTTTTGTTTTTTGTTTTTACAGATTTTGAAGTTAAAAGGTACAAATTTCACCCGTGGAAAAACAAGGAGATGTTTTTGTAAATCTGAGGTCTTTTTTTGTTTACTGATTTTTGTCATCACACTCTTTCAGCTCCATCTCGCCGCAGCGACCTGCAGTCTTTGGGTTACTGCATGCTGCACTGGCACACTGGATTGCTGCCGTGGACCGAGCTCACTCAACCACAGCAGATAGCCACAGAGAAACAGAGGTAAGAGAGAGATAATCTGTCATTTTTGTGTAATTTTAACCTTCTGTGTGAAACATAATGCAAATAACACATGGCTGTAGGTACATGGAGGATGTTCCTGCACTTCTGAGCCAGTGCTTTGGGAGGAGGAGCGTTTCCAGTGAGTTCCAGTGTTTCTTCTGTATCATATACCACATTTTCCTGCATTTTCTTTGGTGATATCTTTCTGTTTTTTGTGCTCCAGGAGCATTTCAAACGTACCTGACTGCAGTGATGGCTCTGCAGTACTCCGAGCAGCCCAATTACTCAGCGCTGAAGGCCGGACTCAGCGACGCTTTAGTGCAGCTGGGGGCATCGGTGGAGGAGCCCCTCAATTTTTAGGTGAGGACACACCCGCCTTTACTGAAACTCAGAAATAAAGATGTTCACATGCACCTGAGGCAAGTTCAACATACCCAGAATAGCTTTTCTTTACCTGATGTCAGCAGTCAGCTCATTTACCTGCCTTCTGAATAAAAGGTCAACGAGGCTCAGGTGTTGTGTTTTAGGAGCATATTTTTAAAAAGTTGCTTTAAAAGTAAAAAGTTTAAACATATTCTCCAAGATCTTAATATTTCTCATTGATGCTCATCACATAGACCCTCTTTGTATCTGCACAGAGATGGTGGTGCTGTTTTTAGACAGCTGATTGGTCACTGGGAGGTTGATTCATATTTGTTGATCTCTTAACAGATATAACAGCATAAGTTACCATGGTGATACCCCAGTAAGACTTGAAACATCTTTGTAAAACTAAAATTTTCAGATAAGAAAAGGAAGAAACTGAGATTCTGGGTTCATCCGATTCTGAGTTTCTCACAGGATTATTTTTTTTTTAAATTAATAGATCTGACCAATCAGGTCACTGCATTTGGCAAGAAGTGCAATCATAGCTCAAAATGTGCGCCATTACTTAATAAACAGTGATATAGAAATAGTAAGATAACACTATTTTACCTCAGACACAGCTGGACGCTGCTTCAGGTCAGTCGGCCTCTGAAATTATTTCTCAGCCTTCTCAGATGTGGCTCCAGCTCTGATGACAAGAGCTGAAACTGCCCCACTGACATCCTGAAATATGTACGAAAGCTGTTGTGATACAGCTTCTACTGCTGGATCAAACCATGAAATTCTCCCTGCTGCTGCCTTCTTCTGAGAATCGAATGAACCCAGAATCTCAGTTTCTTCCTTTTCTTGTTTAAAAACATCAGGACCAGCTCATCATCGCTTCATGTGGACTTCATTCTCTTTAGATTTAGTTTTTCTGAGGGCAAACCTTTTGTAAAAACCCTTTCAGTGTGTATACACGTTACATGACAAGTTCAGATCTGAAAATTTTTGAATTTCATGTTGTTTATTTTTTCCCTCAGTGGGTAAAGACCTCAAGGCTAAAGACCCCTTGCTCAGCCTCAAAGCCTGTATCATAGTACAGGACTGTTCTTTGCAATCAGATATTAAAAAGTATTATTTATACACTGATGTCATTATGAATTACATCTGTTGGAGACATTATGTTTATTATTTACAGCACAGGATGCAAAGCTAGAGGTGGCAGATGAACATGAGGTAAAGATGCTTAGATTTTCATTGGGCGTGACTGAGATGGAGGGGATTCGAAATGACTTCATCAGCTCAGGGACAGCTCTGAGTTAGTGAAGCGGAGGGTTGGTGTTAGGAATAGGGTAAGATGGAGGTAGATGATCCGCTGTGGTGACCCCCAGTCAAAAGAAGACATACAATCTTCAGATACAGCTGCCACCGTTTATATGAAAGGGCCCTTTGTCTATGTAGCCGATCAGGCAAAATCCAAGCAGACTGAACGCAAACGGGGATTATTACTGTGATCAGATGAGATTATCAGAGATTTAATTAAACCAAACTGAAGCGTTAAAACTGACATCAACCTGACAGCGATGCTGCATATGTATCAAACCCTTTGAGTCTGACTAATCTTTGTTTTATTTTCAGAGAGATCGCACAAAAGAGACGAGACTGAAAGATCCTGGAGTTTTCTTATTTTAAAGTCGTGTTTAAATGCTGATGCTTTATTGCACTGAAAGTCATGAGTTTATTAGGTAAACGATTCATTGGTTTTACAGTTTGTGTGTGTGTGGGGGGGGTTTATCATCTTTATGGACCTGTTGAGGCTTCTGTGGTTTTCAGCCTCACAAAGAAATACAAGTTTTAAATTCCTAAAGCACTGATTTTTATATTTTGTGTGTTGCAGTGTTGTTAGGTAGTTAGATTTAACAGGGTGATTTTTATAACAGATGTTTTTTTTCTGTTGACTTATCCTGCTGAACATTTCAACAAATAAAATATCGACATTTCTTACAGTGACTCAGTGAGCTTTGATATTTTCTGATAAGAATACATCGTCTGGTTATTGCTACCTGTTCTTTTTTTTTTTTTTTTTTTTTCAAGCTCCAGATTTTTGTCCCTGAATTTTGGGAGAGTAGCTTTGCATGACTCAGAGTTAAAAATAATCCTTATTTATCTTTTACCGGACCTTTGTGCACATCTCGCCCATTTTACCTCTTTATACTTTACCTCCACTCTTCTGATTGGTCGTAGCTCACAAACAGAAGGCTGAGAAAGGCTGAGGCTGTTGGCTCACAGGAATTACACAAACACACACTGACCTCTTTATTTGAGACTTTTGCCAAGCTTAACCCAACTGTTTTAGTAACCATAACCAGCCTCTGTCAAATGAGCTGTTTTCATCACCACTGAGGGCATCGAGTTTCTGCCTTGAGACGTCTGTATCAGTTAATAATGTTACTGTGTTTGAAGAGAGCAGACAGGGAAAAATTTACAATAAAATTAAAACCTGAGTGTAAGAAAAATGTGTCATGTGGAGATGGTCAACAATAATACTCGGTCAGTCTGCAGTGTTTAAATGCCAGTCAGTGGGTATTAAAGGCTCAAAGTGTGCCAAGAGCACATCTCCCACACCTTTTATACCAACAACAGTCTGAACTGTTGACTCGTCAGTCCAGACAAAGTCTTTCCAACCTTCTACTGTCCAGTTTTGGTGAGCCTGTGTGATCTTCTGCTTTAAGGGTCAGTGTGGTGTTCAAAAAGGAATTTTCACCCTTTGGATATTTTCTATATTTTGACCGACTCTCTGTAAACTCTAGAGATGGTTGTGTGGGAAAATCCCAGTAGACCAGCATGTTCAACATCACTTAAATCACCTTTTCTCTCCATTCTGATGCTCAGTTTAAACTTCACATGTACCTGCTTAAATACATTTGAGTTGCTGCTATGTGACTGGCTGATTAGATACTTGTGTTAAGCAGCTGAACAGGTGTACTTATAAAGTAGCTGGTGAGTTTGTAGTAAGAAACAATTTTAAAAGTAAAAATGCAACAACAGGAAGTATAAATATCCATAAACAATCCCACTTTGGTCACTTTAAGCCTTTGGTGGGAGGCTGCTCATATAACCATGACTGAGCGGTATCTAGTTAAGAGGTAACCAAGTCTCACCCTAACAGACATCTGTACATTTTCCTGTTATTTTGGGGACATAAAATACTTTCACATTCCTGATGACATAAAGATGACTAAAGTTGATTCATTCAACACAGCAGCACGTGTTAATTTTAAAGAAACCTTTATAAAGTTTAAACATTTCTGAACATAAACATTTCGACATTTCAAGACATATACAATTCTTTATATGAAACAGTAAATATCTCTTATTGTGCACACTCAAAGTAATTCAGAAAATAAACACTGTTCTCTTTGCCTGATCTCTCCTGTCGTGGCATTTAAAACCTAAACGTCGCTTGAGGCACTTTCTGAATGACGAGGCTGTTAAAGAAACATGTAAAGCATGACGGACTATATCGCCCCCGTGAGGCGGCTTCTTTTTTTTCTTCTTTTTTTTTTGACACAGTCACAGACCGGATGGCTTTCTCAGAGCGGAGCATAGCTTACACACCTAAACTGATCAGCTGAGCTTTGTAATGCAGACATGCTGGCAGTGTGTGTGTATGTATGTGTGTGTGAGGCAGCTACACATGCAGGTTTAAATACAGTTTCGCACTTCTGCTATCCTTCAAGTGTTCATTTCTAATAACAGCTTAGGCGCTGGTACGATTTTGACCTTTAAATTCACTCCGAGTGTGTTTCTAAACATTAACTGTCTCTGAAAGCCTAAAATTCTCACTTTCAGGGTACATTGCTGCTTTGGAAATGACTTCATGTCTTCAGACAAACATCACATGCTCAAGAAGCCCTGTCTCGCAATAAAAGAGCTCCGGGCTGTGCAGAGAGTTAACACTGAAAATCAATACCTCGGTAGTTCTTCCATATCCACAAATACTCTCTCTTTTTTCTTTTTTTTTCTGAAGTCACTATAATGCATCTTGGTAGCTGATTGTATGCGTCTCTGTAGCTTGAAAAACATCAACTTGAAATTATAAAACCACCTGAAAATGATTAGATCACTTAAAAAAAACAAAAAAGGCCGCTTTTTAAGCTGTTCCTGAAATGTTTTTTTTCACATGACAGGAGCAGTTTATGAAAGTGTAAACTTAAGTGGGGTCCCACTTTAACCCAGAGCACATGATAAAGTCTGCGTTCAAAGTATGATTACTGTCAGAGGACGAAGAGGAGGAAGTGTGTGTGTGTGTGTGTGTTTACAGTCACGACTGAGGTATAGAAACCTCGAGGTTTATCATTCCTGGTGAGAACAAGGCGAATATGTGCACAAACTCCACCGTGATTGGGAGGAGCCTGTTTGTCTGAGCAGTAAGTGGAACATCCTCAAGGCCTCCAATCCTGCAGTGTAAGAGGGACACAGATGGCACCAGAGTGGGAGAAATGGTTTAAGTGTGGATCCGTGGTCTCACTCGAAGTCAGGTAGGTCCACCTGGCTGGGACTAGAACAACCCTCGTCCTGATCCTTTCCTGTGAGATTAAAAAGAGGGAAAATTAAACCCCTCACACCTGCAGTTTGAAGAACTACCACCTGTGTTTACTGACTGACTCCTCACCGTCATCCTCGCCTCCCTCGCTGTGCTCCTCTTCCTTACCCTCAGAAATTTCTATATGACCCAAATCCTGCACGTCACCCACGCTCGACTCCTGAAAAATAAAACACAATTCTTCATTGGTAAAGGCAGCACGGTGCAGCACCTTATAGATTCAGTTTACCTACATCAGATGGTGACCATAAAACATGAATGTATATATGCATCATGCATTTAGAATATGCACCGACCCTCTTAGATTATGAACTGTGTGCACTAAAACACGTTAAGGATTGCTACACCCCCTGCACTCTGATACACTTCTTTCGGCTCCTCTCTTTAGTGGTGTATTCTCCATGGACGCGTCAATATGATCACAAAAAGCAAACATGCAACACCCCATGTGAGATGATAAAATTTATGTCACTCAACTCAGATTCACAAACATAGAAAGTATGATTGAGGCTTTATGCTAAACACACAGTGTGAATAATTATGTCCCAAAATTCTACTCTTACTCTACAAGGTCAAATTCCTTTATTGTCACTGTGCAAACAAAATTGTGCACACTACCTAGAAACAGACCTGGTATGACAGGTGACACACACACAGCTCCAGAGTTAAAGTGGGATGGACCACAGCAACTATAAAACACTGCATTTTTATAAGAAAACTGTGCAATAAATAGTAATGCTGCCGTTAACGAGCTACAATCACAGATGTAACGTCTCACATCGCCACACCTTAATCAATCGCAGAGCATTAAAGAACATTATAGTCTGTTTACCTGTGATTCAGAGAAACGATCTTCATCAGAGTTCCTAAATCCTTCTGGAGCTTCCATAAGGATCTCAAGACCATCAGCCTCCTCTTCCTCGTCACTGCTGAGTGAGACAAAACAAAATGCTGTGACATTGACATAAATGCACCTGTTCACTGACACAGAGTATCACGTTCAGCCTGGATCTCTCGACTTAGAGTTACTTCTGTTTCTGAGACAGAACGTCACGGTTATGTTTTACCGGGCATAAAGAAGCTCACATAAATATATGTGTACACACAGACTGTATAAAAAAGATGCACAGGCATTGTGACATCAGCCATTTGGTTTCTTTTTGAAACTCTATTTTGGCCATCACCACCTTGGTGCTTTGAAACTGGACAAACAAGCTAAAAATATGAAATAATCCCAAATTTCAACACCACAAAATGCTGTCAGTTTAATAAATATTCCTCTACAGTAGATTCTCCTAGGAAAACAGTCTGCTTTGATTATGTCAAGCCCAGAGTCCACTTTTGCCCAGGTCTGCAAATATCCACACAAGCAAGAAGAAAACTTGAAATTACTGAGATCAGCAGTTTTAAAGCTCCTCTATATCAGCCTGTCGCAGCAGCTTCACAACTAGCTTCACAGCTAGTAAATCAAAAACAAAAGAAAAAAGGTAGAATAACTGCAGGATATCACAACAGCAGTGTGTAGCTGCTAACAGGTAGAAAGAAGAAGCTGCACAGCTCACTCTTGTAGGGAAATCTGATATCAGTGTGTTTGACACACAGCATGAATATTTCTAGGATTTTTCTGAGTCTCCTGAGACTCTGAATACGGTGCATTTCTGTTTTGTTTAGTTGTTTAATGATAGTTTTTACTCTCAAATAGCTTAGTGATGTAATAAAATCTTTAAAAAGAATGGGATCCTCCTCCCAAAGCAGGGTAAGTCCTATTGCCACGGATTGTGAGTGCTGAAAGTTAACAGCAGTTTCTAATTTGATTGTTGTTTGCCATGTTGAGCAGCTCAAAAACTACTGAAGGAAATGAGAGCCATATAGATGGGGAGGGGAGAGTTGCCCCTCACCCCCTCTGGTAAGCCACGTCCATCTTTGACATACAGTATGTGTACACGTGTATACATTAGCGGCCACGTTAAATTATTACGAGCAACAGAGTCAGAATAAAACTTTCACATTTCTGCCTTTTAGTTCAGAGTCACAGATATCAGGAACTTTAAACATCTACAGTATTGTTAACAAAGCTGTGATATTTCATAACACAGTAAGAAATATAATAAACAGCATTTGCACAGCAGATTATGGCTGGAAATATCCGTCTGCCAAATACCTGGAAACACTGTAGTAGTGTACTGAGGAGACCTGACTGTTGATGATTAAACTAGAATTACTGCCACGATGACCTCTGAGGATCAAAATCTAAACATGTTCAAGACAATGGAAGAAATGGAGACACAAGAACGATTCCTGATGTTAATCTTCAAAGATTTTCCCTCTCATTTTGCTTCTTTTTGGGTCTCTCATCTCCGGTTTCATCAGCTCCTAAATGCTCCATGTTTCTCTGAGTTTGGTTAATGATTAGTTTTTAAAGTTGCGTTTATACTTAACTGTAAAGCTCCACACCAGCTCCTACCTGCTGGTGTGGAGCTTTATAGTCTGTTATAAAGAAACCGAGGTTAACAGTTGTGGACACGGTCGACAAACATTTCTGTCCCCACACTGACTGACCTTCCTCCACAGTACAGGTTCTCTGCATTCTTTTCTTCCTCCTTTATTTCCTCCTCTTCCTTTTTGTTTTGGTCCTCTTTACATTTATTATCCTGCTCTTCCTTTTCTCCTCTCTCCTCTTCTTTCTCTCCTCTGTCTTCTTGTTCTTCTTCCTCTTCTTCATCAAGATCGGAGCAGTTGAGAAAGTCGAAGCTTTCAAGGGCAGTTTCGACTTCCTGGTTAAAACTCGCAGATGTGGGGAAAGGAGGCTGAGGAGAAACACACGGAGGAGTTAAATACGTCACTGTTTATAGACGAATGTGTTAAATTTATTCCTGAACTCACCGCTGGAGCGTCCTCGCCATGTTTCATCTCCTGGACGGACTGGCGTGGTTGACTTTGGTCTACCTTGTGTTCCTCTGCTGCTGCTTCAGTGTCTGTCTGTGCTTCAGTCTGTTCAGCCCGGGCTAACGAGTCCACGGACGCGTCATCGTTCACCTCCGCAGGCACAAACGCCGCAGGAGGCAGAGAGATGTCGGGGCAGGAGCAGCTCAGGTCTGCCGAGGTTTCAGAGAGCTCCTCTGATTGGACAGACACTCTGTCAGTTGCGGTACAATCCGGGCTGCTCTCACTGGCGAGGCCGTGGGAGAAGGAAGCCTGGAGATGGCCATTCGTCTGAGGAAAAACCTCCCCGGTTTCGGTCTCATCCTCCTCTTGGTTGGATGAGAGCGAGGGCGTTGATGCACTGGACTTGTGTGGCGTGAATGACAGCTGAGTGGTGAGAGTGGTTTGCAGCAAGTTGGACGCCGTCAGTCTCTGAGCGTGATGAGCCAGTGCTGGACTGGATGAGTCATCGGAGGATTCAGAGGAGTTGGACCAGACCGTCCCATTCTCCATTTCCCCCTGACGCTTCAGCAGAGACTAGAGATGAAAGGAAACGAGATCAGAACAAGAAACTAAATCACCTGTGATACGCAGCACAATGCTAACTGAACACCTATCATTAAATTATATCCTTAAAGCTTTAAATGGGGGAAGATTAAAGATAAAAGCATTCAACTAAAGTAATCTGACTGTTTCCAGGGTTTTCACAAAAACAAAGCCACAGTTTTTCAAGTTGGACATGATCCCCTGAAAAGTTCAGTTTTATCTGGATAGGGCTAAACCACAACAACAGTGACCTCAAGGTGCTTTAGACTGGAAGAGAAAGACTTTACGATAATATAGAGAAAATACCAACAATCGGACAGTGAGCAAGCACTTGGCAACAGTGGGAAGGAAAACCTTCCTTTTAACAGGAAGAAACTTCAGGCAGAACCAGGCTCAGGGAGGGCCGGCCATGTAACATGAATGTTGGGTCTGAGGGGAGAAAGACAGGACAAAAGTAAAGCTGATGTCACAGTGATCTATGAAAAAAAGCTCCACTGATGAGTTTGTCATATGAACTCACTTGTTTCTGGTCCTATTAGACGTAAGATTTTTATTTTGTAAATGTAGTTCTATTTAGAGTAAAACAGGTGATAAAGCAGAGATGCTTCTGTACGAGCATGCAGTGTCCTAGGTTTCTCACTCAGTTTTTTTGCTAATATTCTCACCAGTGTAACATGTACTCATCAGCCCCTTCATTAGTTACACCTGTTCAACTTTGCGTTAATGCAAATCTCTAATCATCCAATCACATGTTCAAACTGAGCATCAGAATGGGGAAGAGCTCGGATTTAAATGATTTCAAATATGGTGTGGTTTTGGTGCCAGATGGGCTTGGCACCAATTTTCCCCACATAAGCATCTCTGGGATTTACAAAGAACCGTCTGAAAAAGAGAAACTATCCAGTGAGCAGCAGCTCTCTGGCTGAAAATGCTTTGTTGATGCCAGACATCAGAGAAGAATGGCAGCACATCAAACCTTGGAGCAGATGGGCTACAGCAGAAGACCACACTTGGTGCTGCTCCTCTTAGCTATCAAAAGGAAACTGAGGAAACCCCAACATCGGACAACAGAAGACTGGAATAATGTTTCCTGGCCTGATCAGTCTCAATTCCTGCTGCCACATTCAGATGGCAGGGTCAGAATTTGAAGGAAGCATGAAAGCATGGACCCATCCTGTGTGTCGACGCTTCAGAGTGCTTCTGGCGGTGGAGGCTATGTTTTTTTCCACACACTTTGAGCCCCTTCACAACAACCAACCATACTTAAACACCACAGACTACCTCAGTATTGTTGCTGATCATGTCCATCCCTTCATGACCACCATCCTGTCTCTGCTGAAAGCTTTGATGTTATAAAAACAACTGCTTGTGTGTCACGAAACTTAAATTATCTCAAACTGCAACTTTTAAATATGACAATAACTTCACTGTACTCCAACGGCCTCCACAATCAGATCTCAATCCAAGAGAGCACCTTTGGGATGCTATCATGTTATTATGAACCAAACCTCTGAGGAACATTTCCAGCACCTTGTTGAATCTCTGCCATGAAGAATTAAGGAGGTAACGAAGGTAAAAGAGGGTCCAACCCAGCAATAGCAAGTTTGTGTGTAGGCGATGTTGATGGACAATTTTGGGACCTTGGTAACTTGTGAAATGTCATTACTTTAAACACTGAACTTTCTTGATTAAATAAGAAAAACTCAAATCTCCGCAACAAAACTTGGATCAGTTGGAATTAAAAATTAAACAATCAGTTTTTGGGTTTTTTTGAGGGGGGGGGGTTAGGATCTGATTGGATATTAACAAACTAGTTAATAATTGTTCCGTCACTATAAACTATATTAAAGCTACGACTACATCCCAACACACCGACTCTGCTGTGGTGAACTGAGGCGCTGCATGGCTGAGTTCACAACGGAAGGTCGCCGCCCTGTCCGCCGCCACCCCGTGGAAGGCCTTGACCAGCAAGCGGCTCTGCCAGTGCCTACACCGAGCCATGCTCTTCATCGAGGCGAGGAAGAGGAGGAACATATTGGAATTCTACTCAACCACTACTAAACAGCTACAAGGACCACAGCTCCGCTCCAACATACTGCTGCTGTCACACAACTCGCTACGGCTATCGTTCACTCTGCTCGCCTCAGGCACATCACGACCACACCCACACAACCCTCTGCGAACATCCTCACACACATCAGCGCTACCGCTACAGAGGAAGCAGTCGGGGAGCAGCTGAAACAGAACAGGCCAGTGAAACCACAGTAATGACACCCATCAGTTTAGCATAAATGCAAGAAGCTGATTTATAGAAATTGGGACCGAGCGATGTTAGGAGAACAGGTGTGAAGGAGAAGTTGTTAGTGGAAAAAGCTGTTGGTGAATGTTTCTCATGTTGTCACTCACATAAAACACCTGCTCTCGCATAGAGGGTGTGTCTGGAGGGCTCTGATTGGACAGCAGGCGTTTAGAAACTGTGCTGGAGGAAGATGTCTGGTCATCCTTATCAAACGGACTGAAGAAAGAAGAAACGAGACAAAAGACGTGTGAATAATCATAGAAAAAAAGCTGCACATGTAAACTGAGGTGTGTGTGTGTGTGTGTGTGTGTGTGTGTGTGTGTGTGTGTGTGTGTGTGTGTGTGT